TCGGCTTCTGGGGCACCATCTTCACCAGCGCGGCGTCCCCAGACTTGATGGTCTTCGGGTTCTTCTCCAGCTCCTTGCCGGAACGGCGGTCAATCTTGGACTCGATCTCGGCGAACCGGCACGCGATGTGGCACGTGTGGCAGTCCAGCACCGGCGCGTAGCCGTTGGTGATCTGGCCAGGGTGGTTCAGGATGATCACCTGCGCCGTGAAGTCCGCAGCCTCCTTCGGCGGGTCGTTCTTTGAGTTACCGCACACATTACCACGGCGGATGTCCTTCACAGACACGTTCTTCACGTTGAAGCCAACGTTGTCACCGGGGACGGCCTCCGCAAGCTGCTCGTGGTGCATTTCGATCGACTTCACCTCAGTAGTCACGTTCGCCGGTGCAAAGGTCACAACGTCGCCGGGCTTCATCACACCAGTCTCCACGCGTCCCACGGGCACCGTGCCGATACCACCGATCTTGTACACGTCCTGCAGCGGCAGCCGAAGCGGCTTATCAACCAGGCGCACCGGTTGGTCCAGCAGGTCCAGAGCCTCCAGCAGCGTCGGCCCCTTGTACCACGGCATCTTGTCCGACTTCTCGATCATATTATCGCCGCTCCACCCGGAGATGGGCACGAACTGCACCTTGTCCACGTTGTAACCCACCTTCTTCAGGTACGTGCCAACTTCCTTCACGATCTCGTTATAGCGGTCCTGGCTGTAGAGCACCGTACTCTCGTCCATCTTGTTGCAGCACACCACCATCTGCTTCACGCCAAGTGTGAAGGCGAGCAGCGCGTGCTCGCGCGTCTGGCCGTTCTTCGAGATGCCAGCCTCGAACCCACCCTGAGTCGAGTCAACCATCAGAATCGCGGCGTCGGCCTGAGAGGTGCCCGTGATCATGTTCTTGATGAAATCACGATGGCCAGGGGCGTCGATGATCGTGAACACAGACTTCGGGGATTCGAACTTCCACAGCGCAATGTCAATCGTGATACCGCGCTCACGCTCCGCCTTGAGCCGGTCCAGCACCCACGCATACTTGAACGAGGCCTTGCCCATCTGCGCAGCCTCCTTCTCGAACTTCTCGATCGTGCGCTTGTCGATGCCACCGCACTTGTAGATCAGATGACCAGTCGCAGTCGACTTGCCAGCGTCGACGTGGCCCACGACGACCAGGTTCATGTGTACCTTGTCCTTACCCATGGTGGATTATTGAGGGAGTTGTGTTGGCTAGTGTGTATTTTTGTATGCTTTGATAATGTAGTGCTTCGCAGACGAGGGTGAGATAAAATACGGGAGGCGGTGAAGAAAGGAAAGTAAGGAAGTTCAGAAGAACAAGCACATCCAAGCCTACCGGTGCCAGAGCTGCAACGCTAAGTCATACCCTAGCGTCACCTATAGCTATTTTCTTAGTAATTGTTACAGTTCTTGTTTTGTAAAAATAGGATTTTTTGAGGGTTATTTTTACTTTCTATCCGTTTTGTGGATTAAACTTTGGTGCAACACTCACTTTCGTTATTCTATTTGCTTCCTCTTAAGGTAGTACTGTTAAAGTTTTTTTGCAAATTTTTTACTTGTACTACTGAATGAATCATCAATTTTCTTCTTTCTGAAAAGTATTAATTCGGTTCTTATGATCTTCTAGTTCTATTACACGGATGACTTTGCTAGTAGTATGCGTTATATTCTAATTCTCGTGGCCTAGCTTTAATAAACTCAGTTTGGCTGCGCTTTTCATATATATATATATATATATATATATATATATTACATCTCATCCACGTCAAATAATATTGTAGCTACGTTTCGTATAGACGCATTTCGGTAGTTTTTTTAAACAATGAAACAATACATTGGTGTATTTTTATGAAATTATAATAATTTTTAGAATAGTAATTATTATTAGTAAAAACAAGTGCTTGGCCAAAGTTTACTTCTGTACTTGATTATTCTATTACTTTCTTCACATCTTCTCCTTATGGCTAACACACAATTAATGATAAACAGAGAACTGTTATTCGCTTGCCCTTCATTATGGATAATAATATATCATTTATACATAAAAAGATCTCCAACACGTTGAAATTCGAGAGAGAGAAAAAGATTATATAGGGTTTAAAATTAACCCAAATATGTGTACTATATACGCAAATAGAACTTCACCGCTTTTTTATTTTTGTTTATGTTTTTCCTTCAAAAAAGCAAAATAAAAACAGTCTTCTTATGGTACACTTTTCAATTCTAAAAGGTTAATAACACCATTGTGTATGCAAATAGAAATCAAAGGCGAATAATGATCTTTTATTATTATTACAATACTGACAAAGTATCCCCTGCACCACACATACACATAACGATTTTATGACGAAAACAAGGGCTTGTATTCATCACATTTGTTCTCATAGATAGATATATCCCTCAATCTGGGTACGAATCATTATATTTTTCTCTGAATTGAATATAAAAAAGGAAACGAGATGAATTATAAAGAAATTTTAGTGAACTGTAATTCGTCTTTTCCTTGCCTATATCACTTTTTGCTGTTCTCACTTACAATCGATTATTTGTCTCCCTTAATAAGTGAGCAGTTGCATTTGACTAATTTTTGGTTTTATATCATATTCGCTACGAAATCATCTCTTTAAAGAAAATAACCCATTAAAATGAAGAAAACAAGAAATGAACTACAACAAACATATTCCCATAAGAAAAGGTAATGAAAAGTAAATTACTGTAAGCAAAAGCAGTGCAAGAGAAGTAAAGAAATAAAAATTTACATACTTTGTCTGTGTGTTAACTTGATTTTGAAAATAAGAAGCACTTTAAAGCTATAAAAAGAACAATCGAACTTGGAAATTTTTCACACCATATAGCTACTGCGTGTTTGAGAAGGCTTCCCTTATGATTTCTGAATTAATTCTATTTGGGGGATCCTTATTCTCGTTTTATTTACTTTCATGCCCCTCTCGTACTGCTCGTTTACTGGCTACCTGTGTATAATGAATTTAAAATAAACACGGGCTATGAAGCTAAGGGCACCGGCATTACTATGATTTTCAAATAATTTTGCTATTTGATGTATAAGCACTGGGCTCTTACTCATTCCATGTTCAGGTCTACTGATTAAAACACTTGAGTTGTTGTTCTTTTTAGTTGGAAAGTTAACACCCAGGGGGGGTGGATATTTGTGCCTGCAGAGGTGATATTTAAGCATTTAGTTTGCAATTTTATAAGAAAAAAGCAGCATCAAAGAAATCAAAATACCATACGAATAAACTACCCTTTAATAAAATAAGGTTAGAAAAAAGGTACCATAAAAGGGCTGCAGCAAGAAGAAAAGCTTTCAGAGTTAATCCATGTTTAACAAAAAAAATGTATAACTTAATAAAACAAAGGGGAAAGGAGGTGCACTAGTTTCCTATCTAATGAATTTACGACATCAGACTCAATAATGACGCTTCTTGGCTATTTTCCCTCCTAACTTGATTCCTAAAATTACGCTTAGAATTACTATAATTCTTTTAGCCATGTGAATGCGCTTCAAACCACCCATAGACACGTATAGTGGTGTCCAGTAATTCCCTAATGTTGTTTCGGCATGAAATGTATAAAAACTAGCACTACAACTCTATTCCCATAAAAAAATGCATCAAAGAAGGCATCGAGAAGACAAAACCGATAGGTGTATAGCCTTTCCTAGACCTCCTCCTCCGCCTTCCTCAACCAAGTGCTCTATGAAAAAAAAAGATTCCTTCTACAGCAAAAATATGATCATACTATGCAAAGTAAAGGAAAAGGCATCAATTGTCCATTTCCACTTTTCCGAAAGCGAATCATGACGGAAACTAGTGCTCTCACGCGAATGACGCCTCGTTGACAGGGAGGGAAAATACCCAGTAACGGTGCACTCGTCGGAAGCGGAGGTGGCATCTAGGAGGCTACCACCGCCGCTTTCCGGCAGAGCACCACTGGGGGGAGTTGTGTGCTCCTCAGGAGGAGAAAACAACGTCTGGAAAAACGGAAAAAAATCCTTCATTTGAGCAAATGGCCAATACATGTGCGGCACGGACTCTATGGAGGACTTTTTGGAGAGGTGAAGGGAACTCTTTGGCTTGTGCGTGTGGTTCCGGCCGGCGGAACATGGTGAAAGGCGTCTCCCATGGTGGCCTCGTGATGCGGTGCCGAGTGAATGTGAAGCATGTGGCCCCTGGAAAACGATATAAACCTGTCTGCACCAGTGGTTTAGCGCGTAATCGACGATGGTATCGAACAAAAACGAAACAAGTCTTCTTGACTTCTTAAACACGCTGAAGATGTCAGCATTGCCCGGCTGGTTCGACACCTTCGTGGACTGAGAACCCTCCTCTCCTCCTTCCAAGCCGTCTCCCGCTCTTGTTGGCGTTAGATCGTGAGGATGATATGACGCCGCCTGCGAGGGCGGCGCCGCGTCCGCCGGGATTTCCTCGACTTCCACAGATCCCCCCGAATCCGCGGAGCCGTCGAACTCGAATCCCAGGGATGGCTCGCATCCCTCCTCGCCAGCGATGATGGGGGTTTCCCGCGTGCATGCCGCCTCCTCGAGGGGAGGGGGCGGGGTGGCCTCCGCCGCGCCTCCCCTTCCCCACCCCCCTGCCGCCATCAGCCGACAGCCGAGGTGAAATCGACGGCGCGCCGCGCCCGACACGAGCCCCTCCTCCGGCAACGTCAACAGCGACCACTCCATGCTACAAGAAGGGCTGATCCAAGAAGGGGGCGGCGAGAGAAGTTGGCCAGGCGTCTGAGGCCTCATGGCCGCTTCGTCGTCGTCGTTGGTTTCCTCATCCGAGGCGTTGTCTCCCCTTCCTGGAGTGGGGGACGGATACGCGGGGCGCAACGGCTGTAGCAGCCTCACCGGGGTGGGGCTCCGCGCGCCCTCATGCCCTGCCGTCGCCGCCGAAACGAACCCCCCCCCTGGCTTGAAAAAGGGGTTTGAAAAGACCTCCAGGCTTTCCCCAAAAAGCTCCCAGCTGGAGAAGGTGGAAGGGGGCTCAGGCGCGGGGGTGCCCCGGGAGCCCCCAACCCCACTTCGGCTGCGGTTGGAGGAAAAGGGGCGGGAATGGGGGCTGAGGCTGGGATCGGCTTGGATGGAAAAAACGTCGAACACGGCGTCCGCCGCGGCGGGGAGAGGCTCCGTGTAGGTTCTCAGCTGCGGCGTCGCGAGCAGCTTCGAGAAGGGGAAAAACGGATCCTGGGGACCGCGTGACGGGACCATCGACGACATCCTCGATTGCTCCCTCGCGAAAGACGACTCCAGATGAGCCTCACAACAATATCCTGTCTCCTCTTCTTTTGTTTAGTCTGTGGGGACGAATTTTTCTTCGTATACGGATGGGTAATAAACAATCCGGGGATTTCGCTGATACCCTGTTTGCCAATCTTTCCCTCTCCTTTTTATAGTAGGATAAATAAAATATGGTAGTGATATAACTTAAAGGAAGCAAGCAGTGAAACGATCAAAACGCAGAGCTTGCGTTTCTTCTGAAATCAATAAATAAACAGAAGCAAGAAGACACTGGATATATCGACCAATTTCGAGTATGTAGGACCTTTCCTGACAGCGTATCTGCCGTTGCACCGCGTTTTTAGACGCGTGATTGATATAGCCCTTGAAAAAAGCAACAAAAAAACAAAAAAAATTGTTCAGAAACTCAGTTATACTTAAACTAGTTGAACTTGTATAGAACTGAGTGAGAGGGGCCTTTTTGTTTAACTTTGGAAAAAAAAATAGAAAGAAGGAAATCAAGGATTGAATTAGGACACATTGTGATTTTTATAAATTAATGAATATTGAAAATGGGATTAGAAGATACACAGTGGTACCATAAAAGTTGTAGGGAAGAATATCGGTTAGCATCGCCTCAACATTTTTTCTGTCCAAGTTTAAGCAAATTTCGAATACTCGGTGTAGCAAGAGTCATACGGACTCCAACCAACATTTAATGCATCAGGATATGTGCATAGAGAGGAGAGTAAAAGCCACCTCCACAACGAGTAAAGCGGATCCGAGAACTCAGCTGTTAAAGAAAAGCAAATCTGCTTTAGGCAGAAAGCTTAGCCATCCTCTGTTCTGATCACAGAATGGAGAGAGAAAGTGAACTTAAACTACCCATAAGTTACAGAAAGGAATAAATCTAGGTAGAGAATGCAGTAATTCCTACCATCACTCCCACCATTCGCGTACTGGCATCTCTCAAGAGACGCCAAGTTCCCTTCATTGTGGGTGCGTAGAGAAGAAAAGTGGAAATCTAGTGGGGAAAGAGATCCCGAAGAATGTAGCTTTCCTCATATGATAGATTCAATGCATGTTTTCCCAGGAGCGTTTGTAAACCGTAACCATTTAGCATGTGGTTGGTTGTTCCACAAATATGAGGCTGGCAAAAAAAAACGCAATATCACCCCTCGTAAGCATTCTGCCGCATTTATGAGTGGTAGCCATATGGCAAGAAAAATGCCTTTTATCACATTATTGCGTTTTGTGATAATTTAGTCCGTTTTTGCTCTCTGGGCCCGTCATAAGAGGCTGGAGTGATAAGCATAAAACAATAATAATAGTAATAATAATGCTGATAAAGCCGTAAAATGTGCGCAGGTTAGTAAAAATGGCAGACAAATAGGAAAAGAATGAAGTTTTACCCCTGCCAATTCACTTTAGCTCTTAAAAGTACATAGATGGTAAAGAGGGCAGATCATCGGGACATTGCGTGTGTGTATGTGTAAGCCGATTGAGTTTTATTCACGCTTGCATGCGCGCATCATTTCTGACTTTATCCATAAACATTCATATTTATGCCGGTATATGATGTCATGAAAAAGACAATGTCACCTTTTGTAGTATTGAAAAAGCTTGATGACCGATTCGGGTGATTGAAATGAAAAAAAGAAGGCATAAATTCGCGAATCTATCAGAAAACATCTAGTCAATGCATTAAACTTCACAAGTCAACAACGATGAGCAAAGTTTGATTCCTTTAATTGCATAGATTGGTAAAAATAAATGATAAAAACATTAGGGAAAAAGAAAAAAAAGAAAAAGAAAA